TGTCATTCCTCGGATCTGCCAGTCCATGTTCGAGCGCATCTCTGCCATCCAGCAAGACAAAAACCTTAGCTGTACCGTCGAAGTGTCCTATCTCGAAATCTACAACGAGCGAGTCCGCGATCTGCTCAATCCCTCGAACAAAGGGAATCTCAAGGTCCGCGAGCACCCGTCCACAGGTCCATACGTGGAGGACCTGGCCAAACTGGTCGTGCGCTCCTTCGATGAAATCGACAATTTGATGGACGAGGGTAATAAGGCCCGAACGGTGGCGGCGACAAACATGAACGAAACCTCCAGTCGATCACACGCCGTGTTCACCTTGACCCTTACGCAAAAGCGCCATGATGCCGAAACCTCGATGGACACCGAGAAGGTTTCCCGAATCAGTCTGGTCGATCTCGCGGGTTCGGAAAGAGCAAATTCGACGGGAGCCACCGGCGCGCGGTTGAAGGAAGGTGCTGAAATCAATCGATCGCTGTCCACCCTCGGTCGGGTCATTGCTGCCCTGGCGGATGTGGCTTCTGGAAAGAAGAAGAATGCTTCAATGGTTCCGTATCGTGATTCTATCCTCACATGGCTGCTCAAGGACTCTTTAGGAGGTAACTCCATGACGGCGATGATTGCTGCGATCTCACCTGCCGATATCAACTTCGATGAGACTCTGAGTACTTTACGGTATGCAGACTCGGCCAAGCGAATCAAGAACCACGCAGTGGTGAACGAGGACCCCAATGCACGGATGATCAGAGAATTGAAGGAAGAATTAGCGCAGCTGAGAGCGAAGCTTGGTGGTGGTGTAGCAGCAATGGCCGGCGCAGCTGCTGGCAACCCCGCTGCCGCTGACGGTATCCCACCCGAGGAATCTTATCCCCCAGACACGCCTCTGGAGAAGCAGATGGTTTCGATTCATCAGGCGGATGGTTCAGTCACCAAAGTCAGCAAGGCGGAGATTGTGGAGCAATTGAATCAGAGTGAGAAACTTTATAAGGACTTGAACCAGACATGGGAAGAGAAAATGGCCAAGACCGAGCAGATCCACAAGGAGCGCGAAACAGCCTTGGAGGAGCTTGGAATCAGTATTGAGAAGGGCTTCATTGGCCTCAGTACACCAAAGAAGATGCCTCATTTGGTCAATCTCAGTGACGATCCGTTACTCGCAGAGTGCCTTGTGTACAACATCAAACCAGGAACAACTATGGTTGGCAATATGGATCAGGGCAGCCATGTGGAGATCAGACTGAACGGATCCAAGATCATGGCCGATCACTGTAAGTTTGAGAACGTGGACAACATTGTCACCATCATCCCCACCGAAGGCGCCGCCGTTATGGTGAACGGATTGCGTATCGATCAACCCAAGCGCCTTAAAAGTGGGTTTCGGATTATTCTGGGTGACTTCCACATCTTCCGCTTCAACCATCCGCAAGAGGCCCGTGCCGAACGAGTCGAGCAAAGTCTGCTGCGTCATACGGTCACCACAAGCCAGCTTGGCTCACCCGCGCCAAACAAAACCCATGACCGCAATGTGAGCAAAACCGGGTCGGAGATTGATGGCGACTCGAGTAGGGCCGATTCACCGATGCCGTCGCAGCCCAGCAGGGAATCCGATTGGTTCTATGCTCGCCGTGAAGCCGTCAGCGCTGTACTGGGGCCCGATCACATCTCGCATATGCCTGACGATGAGCTGGACGCCTTGTTTGAGGATGTGCAGAAGGTCAGGGCTACACGCCGGGGCCTGGCGGAGAATGAGGAGGACTCTGACTCGTTGAGTTCTTTTCCCGTACGAGACAAGTACATGTCAAACGGTACTATCGACAACTTCTCGTTGGATACTGCCATCACGATGCCCGGGACTCCTCGTCCCAACGATGACGATGAGGCACAGAGTGGAGCCGATGCGACTCTGCAATCTGTGCGCGAGGATATGCAGCGGCAGCTGGATCGGCAGAAAGAAGAATATCAAGACAAACTGAGAAATGCTGAGACGTCATCCAGTCAAGACGTTGAAGACCTCCGCTCTGAAAAGACCCGGATGGAGGAAGCCCTGCGGACAGCGAAAGAGGAATTTGAGGAACAACTCAGGAAGCAAAAGGAAGCATTTGAGTCTCACATGAAGGATCTAGGCCAACCGGTACCCAAAGTCTATGAGAATGGCTTTGCCAAACTCGACGCCCGAGAACTCGAGGTCGCACGTTCAGTTTACCGCCACTGGTCGCAGCAGAGCTACGTTCGCATGGCCGAGAAGGTGCTGCAATACGCGTCGCTGCTGAAGGAAGCCCAGGTCATGAGTCAGATCATGGACAAGAATGTTGTATTTCAGTTTGCAATCATCGATCATGGGCACAATATGGCCTCGTCTTATGACCTCGTACTGAACGGTATCTCCGGAGACGAGGACGTTGTCTTGGATGACGCTAGGAAGCCATGCGTAGCTATCCGTGTTATCGACTTCAAGCAATGTGTGATCCATCTCTGGTCCATCGAGAAGCTCCAGCGTCGCGTCCAGGCTATGCGTCAGCTACACCAGTACATCGACCGTCCTGACTACATCCAGCATTTCAAGTTAGAGAATCCCTTCTCCGAACCCTGCTCGCCTCAGTACTCGCTTGTGGGTGACGCCGACATTCCGCTCACTGCTGTCTTCGAAACCCGAGTCCAGGATTTCTCCGTCGAAGTGTTCTCACCTTATACGCAGAACGTCATCGGCATTATCCGACTGTCTCTGGAACCCTCCTCGGCCCAGGCCCCGTCGTCTACGTTGAAGTTCAACGTGGTCATGCGGGATATGGTTGGGTTTGCCGAATGGGAAGGGTCGGAGGTGCATGCTCAGCTCGTCGTGCCTGGGATCTCCGAGGAGGGCGGTGCCACTACGACGCAGATGATCAGTGGATTCGAAGAAGCCCCAGTGCGATTTGAGAGCGTCCACAGCATGAGCTTGCCATTGTCCAGCCCCCGCAGCGCCGCTCTGAAAATCTGCGTCTATGCCCGTGTGACCCAGATGCACCTCGATAAACTTCTCAGCTGGGACGACATGCGTGACTCAGCCGAGCCGGCGCCCAAGAAACGGAAAACTCCACGGATTGCCGAAACAGAGTTCTATTCCGAAGAGAGACACGACGTTTTTGCAAGGGTGCAGATCCTCGAGTTGGCGGAATCCGGCGATTACCTTCCGGTTGAGGTTGTTCAAAGCAATAGCCTTGATGCAGGCACATACCAACTACACCAAGGGTTGCAGCGTCGTATCATGGCGAACTTGACCTATAGCTCCACCGAGAGTCTGCCTTGGGATGACCTGACCAACATTCGCGTGGGGTCCGTGCGACTGCTCGACCCTTGGGGCAAAATCCCGGATCAAGACCTGCAAACCCCCGACGTTCCACTGAAGTTCATTCAAGAGCCTGGTGTGAAAGAGAATGCAGATGGAACTTCTAATATCACCATCATAGGCCAATGGGACTCCAGTTTGCACGGGTCTCTGCTTCTTGATCGGGTCACTGCGGATAAGTACCGCGTCCAGGTGACCCTGAGATGGGACCTGATATCTTCACGCTTGCAGGACCCAGTGCCCTTCGAGATTGACTTGACTCTCCAGATCCAGGGTCGAACCTATGTCCGGCCGCAATCCATGTTCAAGCAATTCTTCAACTCCACGCGTATTGTGCACTCGACTGTTCGCATGTTTTCCTTGGTGGTTCGGCCGGTGTCTGCCAAGCGGGCGGCAGACCTGTGGCGCATGAACACGCAGAATGATTACGTTAAAGGCGAGGAGTATCTGACTACGTGGTCCCCACGCAAGGTGTCGCTCGTGCGGGACTATGTTGCTGCGCGCAAACGGCGGCGACGCATCGCCGAGTTGTATGCTGCGAAAGGAGCTCTCAGTGCCAACAGCTTGGTGGCGTCGCCTATGCGCAGTGGACGCTCGACCCCTCTTCGGAGCCAGCAAGGCGCGGACCGCGATGCGAAACTGCTCCAGAAATACATCGATCTTTGGGCGAAGAGGACCGATCCGATTGAAGCAATCCTTGTTCGGAGCAACACCGAGCCTCCTGCAGGCGGGGCGGCTTTTTCTTCTCGGATCCGGCAGCCTTCGTCCAGCGACGACGAGAACTCGAGCTCCATCTCCGACGAGGCATCCCTGAAGCCGCGATTTGTGGCCACCATCCAGACTCTCCCAAAGAATCCATCTTCTCTCAAGTCCGGATACCTACTTACCCCGGATGATACCAACAGCCACTGGGTGCGGCGGTTTGTTGAGCTTCGCCGACCTTACCTGCATGTTCATTCCGTCCCCGACGGGGACGAGATCAATGCCATCAACCTGCGCAACTCGCGGGTCGATCATTCCCCTGATTTTGCACGGCTTCTCGACGGGCCAGGAACGACGGGTGACCGTGGGGCGTCGAGGGGCCGCCATGTGTTTGCGGTGTATGGGTCGCAGAATACGTTTCTGTTCGCGGCCCGGACGGAAGCTCAGAAGGTGGAGTGGATCTTGAAGATCGATGAAAGCTACTTCAGCAACGCTGGGGCGCGGGCGATGACGAATGGTTCTTGATCGTGCTGTCCCCACCCCTCCAAATTTGTAATGCATTGCGTCTCTTTTTCTTTCTCATTTTGAGTGATTGGCAGGCCTGGTGTTCATCTTTCGTTAGACTCGTGACAACCCTTCCTGATTGATTTTGAGATACCCCTGAATACCTTTGCCCTGATGGCGCCTGTGATCTCCATGTACATACATCTTGAGACTATTTCGACATAGAAGCAACCGCCTCCTGGCCTCTTTTTGGGTTGTGTAGTTGGCAGTACGTACTGGTAGTAATTATATACGTAGTAAGTCGATTATGGTATTAAGCCTAGATCTGGTGTGGAGAGCAGACTGGATGCATACTCGAACGTAGTATGAGCACAAGTAACTGAAAGGTTGCCATGACAACCCCCATTGCATCATGGGGGATCTGCGCTATCAACATTGAGCTTATCGCATCGACTCAACTGACATCTATCACGCATCAACCTTACACTACAGCGCGAGATCTTGCAGAGGACGCTTCCAAGAGGAATGCGCCTCGCCCACGACCAGAATCGAGGATGTACACCATATCCAAAGCGCACCTCCTCGCCACCGCCGCCGTCCTCTCGCTGATCATCACGACATTCCTTATCTTCGGCACGCAGTACTCCACCTCGGTCGCCAAATATGCGCTGAAGACATCTCTGCAGACCGGGGGATGTGCTCCGCCGCCCGCGGAATTTCCCATGAGCAGCAGCAACACCACCACCGCCTGGGAATTCGAGGCGGCGCGCGACGGCAACAACTACGGGCTCACGGCGCGGCAATGCCGCGCGGCGTTCCCCAAGCTGTTCGTGGAGATCGACAACTCGACGGCGACGCGCGCGCAGAACCCGATCCGCTATGAGGAGTTGGATCAGATCGAGATGGCGGATGGGATGGTGCGGGGGATGATTGCGGATGGACAGGTAGGTTTTGTCCTTTTCCTTGTGTCAACCCCCCTTTAACACCTAAATTTCAACCCAACCTAACCTCACCTCCCCCAACAAAAAGCTCTACATAATCTCCTACACCCCACAACCCGCCACCTTCAGCCGCGCCAAAGCAACGCTGCACGCGCTGCACCGCGCCCTCGCCGCCTCCCCGGACCCGCTCCCACCCCTCGAATTCATCCTCACCACCGAAGACTTCTACCTCCCGCCCCCCACCACCACCACCACCGCCAGCGGGCCGCCAATCTGGTCGTACACCAAACTCCCGCACCACCGACACACCTGGCTGATGCCCGACTTCGGGTACTGGTCGTGGCCGGAGGTGGGGGTGGGGCCGTACGGCGCGCTGCGCGCGCGCATCGCCGCCCTCGAAGCGACCCTCCCCTCCTTCGCGCAGAAGCGCAAACAGCTGCTCTGGCGCGGCAGCACGGCCACCAACCCCGCCGTGCGGGGGACGCTCCTCAAAGCCGCGCAGGGGAAGAGCTGGTCCAGCGTGCGTACTCTGGACTGGGATTCTACCTCCGAACCGTCCGCTGGTTCAGGTTCAGGTTCAGGTTCAGGTAAGGGTATGCCGGAGGCCTTCCTCCCGATGCACGAACACTGCGGCTACATGTTCCTGGCGCACACGGAGGGGCGCAGCTTCTCCGGGCGCGGCAAGTACCTCCTCAACTGCAGGGCGGTGGTGCTCTCGCACCCGCTGTCGTGGCGGGAGGCGCACCATGCCGCGCTGGTGGCGGCGCCGCATCCGGAGGCGAACTATGTCGTGGTCGAGGAGGAGGGGTGGGCGGACTTGGATGCCAAGATGCGGTGGTTGATTGATCATCCCGAGGTGGCGGAGCGGATTGCCGACGAGGCGGTGCGGACGTTCCGCGATCGGTATCTGACGCCCGCGGCGGAGGCGTGTTACTGGCGCGAGTTGGTGGGGGCGTATAGTCGGGTGTCGGGGTTTGTGCCTGTGTTGGAGGGCCGCGAGGGGGTGGTGGCTTTTGAGGATTGGGTTCTGGGGGTCTCGTAGCTTGGTTTCTTTGGTGAAAAAAAAAAAAAAAGACGGGGGTCCGGGGGGGACCCCCCGGTACGGTGATTTGTATACTTTGTATATCTGGATATGGTGGTTTGGGTGTGGTTGGCGTTGTTGGTGTTTGGGGGTTATGAAGGTATGAGTTTATGAGGCTATGAATTTGGAACCTAGGTGTTGGGTTGGGCTTTTCCCTGGTATATGGTGTATTTTATACTCAAATGCTACTGGGAAGAAAGATGGGGGTCCGGGGGGAACCCCCGGGATCGCTCTCTTCCACAAGTAATAGGAATGGACTTAGACTACTACTACTGCTATTGCTACTGCTGCTGCTGCTGCTGCGCTGACTGTACCAGTACAGTATATAATCCGCAATGTGTATTCGCTATCAACAGTATAAACACTATACAACTCCAAACACGCCCACAAGAAGCCCACATCCACATCCACATCCTACAACACAACCACATCCTCCCCTTGAATCTCCAACCTCGCCGCATACGTACACCGCCTATCCCCCCCACAGAACCCATGAAACAGCATGCGATCCCCGCACCCACACACCGTGCCACCCCCCGGCGACGTCAGATTCCACTGGCCCGAGGCGAACAGCTGCCGGCCGGACTTGGTGTACGGGCCCGTGATCGACTTGCTCGTCGCCCAGCGCACATCGTACTTGGGGTCCGTGTAGCAGTGCGTCGAGTAGAACAGGAAGTACGTGTCGCCGTGCAGGATCAGGTTGGGGGCCTCGACCAAGGGCCCGTCGCTGTCGTCGCGGTCGAGGACCTGCACCGCGTCGCCGACGGGCGTGAACCCGTCGTCGGCGACCTTCTGCAGCAGAATCGGCGTGGGTTTGAGCGGCGCGATCCCGTTGTTGCAGTCGCCGCCGTTGCCAATGCTGTTGCCGTCCACCTTGAACACCACGTAGCGGCTGCCGTCGCGGTCGAGGAAGCCCGACGGGTCGATGGAGCCGCCCTGGTCCAGTCTGCAGGACAACGGGGTGGGATTGGGGATGTAGGGCCCCGTCGGGTCGGTGGATTCGGAGACAGCGACGCCGACGCAATGGTGGCGGAGGTCGTCTTTGGCTTCGCCTGAGTAGTAGAGGACGAATTTGCCGTCGTTCTGATTTGGTTTCTTGGTTAGCGAGGTGGCCAAAAGAGTGTAGACGGTGAAGGGGGCCTGGCTGATCATCTACTGCCCTCACCCCACCCCCGACGAAAACAGCTTCGGCTTGCTAACAAAGAAACGCCTGGAGCATACCCGCTGTACTACATCTGGAGCCCAGTGGTCCACGGCTGTCTCCCAGCCAGCCAGGGTGGGCATGGCTTCTTTATCCAGCAGAGTCCAAGACTCGAAGTCAGGGGATGTGGCCACCTGGACGGTCCTGCCGTTGCCGTTGGTGCCAAACGCGTACCATGCCCCGTCATCACCTTGAACGAAGCCGGGGTCGGGGAAGTCGGAATCAATGGCAAGCCAAGGGCCTGCGGATCGAGGCGCGATAGGAGAGCCCAGTACCGGCGCTGTTGCTGCCAGCAGAAGCCCCAAAGGCCAACGGCCGCCCTGAATAAGCCACATTGGGGATTGATTATAAACCCAGTCAGTATACAAAAAATGCAAGTGCAGGCCAGTCACCAGGAAGACAATGCACACCACCGGAAATGACTGGACCGGGCCGTTTTATATCGGAGACGAGCAGAAATTCCTCAGTAAAGAGGCGGGTCATCCATTACATTGACGACTTCTAGTTGGCTATACTGGTCTGAGCTATAATGAGCTAATTCATCAATCAGTTGACCGGGCGTCTCAAGGACCAAGCAGGATTGGGTTTCTTGGTCCGGGTCAGGATGCAACACATGGCCCCAGTCTAGGAGCAACAGTTATCTCGCTGCGGGGACAAAGTCCGCGACCTCCTCCTCACCGGGCCACAGGTCTAGTGACCGAAATCGAGCACAGTAGCGCAGCATAATTGACCAAGAAATCGATCGATCGATTGTGACTGGACTGGCGGCTGGTAGATCGAGAGGATCGCCGTGCAACTGCCGCAAGGCTGCCCTTTCGAACCGACAGCAAACGGTGCGCACGACCTGCAGTCGGCCACTGGGGTGAGCAATTGACGTTTCATCAACGACTTGTCAGTCTGGGCGAGCGGACCAGAAACAAAGCGCGGATGTTGGTTGGGGTATGGAAATTCCCGAAAACAGGAAGGAAAACAGGAAGCACATCTTTGTACCCTAGTTAGTGCCAACTTAGCCCCATGATTCCCGCAAGCGTGATACTAGATCACAACTATAGGGGAGTCGATGGATTAGACTCAAAGTATGAACCTTCTTGCAAAGCCATAAGAAAGCACAAATCGAAGGGAAGGGAGGGGTGAGTGAAAATGCAAGGACAGCCACCAAGAGGTAGGACGGAAGTTGATCATACCACTCCAACATATGTGTGTGTGTGTGTGCTGAATATACTGGAGGTGCATCCACACAACAATTTCAATTTTGCAAGTTCAAAAGGAAACCAGTATGATTGCTGGCCCGGACTGGATTCACAGTGCCGTGCATACAATGTCTTGTATCTGATAGGCCGCAAGGCGCAGTGCTTGGAAAGTCAGCCACTGCCGCCGCTTCAGCATTTCGTGCCTGACTCGTGCACCACCACCGCCGGGTTCCAAAGCCCAACAGCAATTAACACCGTCGGGTCCGCCAGCTTAGATGCGCCCATCTAGATGCTGTTGCCCTGTGGAGTGTGGACGGGTACCTCTGAATGATGGTCCAAAAGACTTGGCAGCGCAAAAAAGTGACTTGGTCAAGAGGCAAACGTCCACCCTCAAAACATTCCTCGGCCAAGATTTCGGGCAGTCAGTCGCTTGCTCACCTTACGTCCTTCCAGCAAACAACCAACATCATTCGAGTTCATTCTGGACAAGCCAGAGCCTCAAGGACACCGCAAGTCCGCTGACTCACGCTGCATGACAACCTTCTTTCCTGCATCGTCGACGTCAGATCCCGCGATGCTGGTGGTAGACCCTTGATCTGTGTTGTGTCCCTTGCCTTATCGCCATGCCTTATCACCTGAGCGACGCCCAACAGCTTTCACCTTTCTGGATGGTATTCGAAGTTATGGAAACGGTCATCCGGCATATCGGAGTGTGCTTTTCCTCCTTTGAGTGGACGATCGGCTTATGTTGACCATGGAACGGGAAAACCCCGTGTTGTTTTGCCGCATCAGGTGAATGGACAGACGATGGAGTCGTGTGAGATAAGCTCTTCCAATCCGAGATTTCCATGTGCGGACCCGGGTGAATGGATATTGAGGACTCAGTAATATGTCCCCCGCATTTCAGAAATTTGGGGGGGAGTTGCGGGGAAATATCCGCAAGTCGTGTGTCGATCGCGGCCGCTTTCGATCGGGATCGGCAAATGGAAAGTTATCAGGCGGTGGATTAGGGTAGCATAAGGAGAAATGATCTGTGGGTAGAGTCGGATGTGACACTGTGCACAATTTGCGAAGTTTAGTTACGAGGAGAAGTGGAAGTCGAGGGGAAGTCGAGGGGAAGTCGAGGGGAAAGTTGTTTGTTGATTCTCGGGTTTCTCTTTCTGGAGTAGTCTCCTCGGCTGACTGCCTCGCGACCATTTCGCACTTATTTGATCATCGATGGAATAATAGGATCTATTGTCATTACTGAGTATTACTACCAATTAGGCTATCTCATAGATCTTGATCTTGTCGATTCAACAGCATTGTAGCATATGAAGTCACATGCTTTACTTGCTCAAGTTCAACTTTTCAAGACGCATCTCGCGTGTCTCGCGCGTGCTCTTCAGCCACTGCTCCACCCCATCAATCGCCTCCTGAGGGTTATTCTTGTAGTTCAGAAGATATCCCTGAACCTCTGCAGCAGTAAACTCACCAGAGGGAACCTGTGCTGCAAACTGTCGCGCCAAGTTCGAAATATCCCCCGGAGTGATCACAAGAGATTGCTTCCCATTCACAGGCTTTACCCCGTTGGTCATGGAGTGCCAGGTCTTTTCAAGGCTACCTCCCGTATCTGCAGAACGCAAATCACCCTCCAGCATGGAATAGATAGACGCAAAGAGTTCCTCGACATCGTGGCTCTGCGCATAGCCAAACCCGATGCTCATATCCACGCGTCCAGGACGGAGCAGCGCGGCATCCAGCTTCTCGGGATGATTGGTAGTCATGATGAGAATGCGACCCTCGCTGGCGGCCACACCATCAATGACATTGAGTAGACCGGAGAGCGAGATCCCCTGCTTCTCCGGAGGGCCGCTCTCAGCCTTGTCTCTCGGCTTCCGGGCAGAGGCAGCGTGGTCGGTGTCGGTGTCCTTGTCCTTGTCGTCAGGCCCGCGTTTCTGCGTCATACCCGCGCAGTCGACATCCTCCAGGAGCACAATACACCGCCGAGGCAGTCGGTGAAAGAGGCCCATGAGATCATCCTCGTCCAGACTTCTGGAACTCAGATTCAGTAGATACAGCGGCACGCCCAACACCCCAGCAGCGGCGAAGCTCAAGCTCGTCTTGCCGGTCCCCGGAGGCCCGTGAAGCAGATAGCCGCGTCGGTACGGGATCCCGCGGTTGGAGTACCATCTTCTAGTCCTTGGATGCAGGTATTCCTTGATGTCATTGACAAACTCATCTTTCTGGGTCTGGTCCAGCACGACAGTGGAGAGTGCCCGCGGCGCACGCGCCATGCAACGGATCCAGTCGGTACGGCCATTCGCCTTCTGACCTCGATAGATGACCGTGCTGTTACCGTCGCGTGCAACATACGCCGCCTGCGCCTCCGCGAGCAGCTGCTTAAGAAGCGTGGTGTCCCGTCCAAAGCACGAGATAATCAGGCGTTCCGAATTGTCCTGCATGTACAAGGAGTTGGTGGACCGGTCGCGAACGCGATTGAGGAAGATCAGGCGGTTCTTGTACCGGAAGCGATGGACTCCATGAGCTGGTGTAAAGCGTAAGCGCTTTGTGCGGTCCCGGGCGATCATCTTGTTCCAGTACTCATCAAAACTGCTCCTTGCGATCTCTTCCTCATCGATCTCCTCTTCGGATGAGTCGTCCGAGTCGTCCGAGTCGTAGTAGTACCGATCAACGGAGAGCTGGGTGCTGGCATAGATGTGCCTGGTGCTCTGCATACATCGGTGGCGCGAAATCCAGAACATGAGGTAAATGTAGACATCGTCGTAGATGCGGACCTCAGTTGAGGCCATGAGATGGCTCCGGAACAGGCTCTGAACATGGTGGGACACATGGTCGGAGGCAAAGTAGATACTGATGGCCGTGAAGATGTATGGGATGTAGAGCGAAAGGTCGATGTGGAGGTATGATAACAGGAGCCGCGAGATGAACGCATACCCGGGGATGAGCCCCTCCAGGATGGCGGTTTCGGAGGTATTGAAGATTGGAGTGGTCGAATTCATGGTGGCGAGTATAGGAGCCGCAGCTGAAGGCTCGTTGCAGAAACCAAGCATGCTTGAGAGGGCCTCGAGAGAGATTTATAGGAACGAATCTTGAACTGTGAGGGTGTATTACAATCGGATCAATTCTCGGATCCAAAGCCGAACAAAGTACAGTCCCTTTGTATTCAAGCTTGACCGGGACGCAGGCAGCAGACAAGGCTGCGCTCAACAAGAGAGACAAAGGCCCCTAGAGCAGGTAGAAAGAGTGAGACCTTGCTGAAAGAAATTCACTTCTTTATAGCATTCTCGCTCTCATAGTCAGCCAGGCAGCATGACAGTGTGTCAGGCTGCCACGAACTAGGGGATGCCGAATGGTTCCAGACCACATTGCTGCACCACGGTTTATGGATCAGTGTAACTCTAGCCGACAGGGCTGTGACTGGATGGACTGCAGCGAGGCTTGAGTCACCGACAGTCTCGCGTAATAGGCTGCAGTGAGAATCAGTGGAAGGAAAGGATCGCCACAAAGGGACAAAAAGGAGGCTCAGCTCAGCCGCTTTGTCTTGCACATGATGTCATCCTGCAGTCGGGCTCCCATTTCGGGAAATCGTCAACATTTGCCAGAAGGTTGAAGTTCGATATTTCTAGTATCAATTGTGGGTATCTCGAATTAATATATGCTGTATGTGGTACTGCCCCCAGAACACCCAACAAGACTGATTGAGAAGTCGGTATAGATGTAATGAGAAAAGGAAAAGATGTAATGGATGGATGAATGAACAAGAATCGTCATCTAGGACGACCCCGTCACGAAATTATCTTTGACAGTTTCAAACACATCAGTCGCCCAGTCCTTGGCCTCTTCTATCTTCTCCCACAACGTTCCCCACCAGTTCGGACCCGTTTCGTCCTCGCTTTGTGAGCTAGTCTCCGGTGGCGTATCAACCGCCATGTCAGCTGAGGACGTGGGACTGGCAAATTTCATGGACGAGGTCGTGGTTGGTGTCGTCGATGGCTTAACGAGCTCGACGACGGTGGTCATGACTGATGGTGGATCAGAAGGATCCTCGAGGGTCGGCGAATCCTCGTCAGAATGTAGACCCACCGGCCTCAGAGGGAGACGAAGAGTTCCATTGTTGGGGTGTGGTGTCACCCCGAGGGAGTCACAGATCAGGTTGTAGACATTGATGTTTTCTAAATGAGTCAGCCACCGGCTAAAGCGTACGGGAGCGAATTCTGTACTTACGGAAGACTTCCAATCGGCTATTAGGTTCATGGGGGAACGCAGGGCCTCTTGCTATGAAGATCGCCCGCATTAAGGGGTGTTCATGGTCGTACCCATGGATTCCTTTTGGGTGATAGACTTCTCCTTTTTCTAGGGCTTGTTGAGCATCGAAATCCGGCCGTTCGACAATTGCCCAACCTGCCTTGGGAATCACCCAAAGAGGTGCAATCCGGTCGTTGTTCTGGAAATGGTATCGTTTGGGCATGTTCTCCCGCGTGTAAACTTCCAGCGCATGAGAGAAGTTGGATGCCACGCTCTCGAGCTGATTCTGGAGAACTGCAAGGTCTTCCGGCTGCTTGGGGCGAAGCCCACGCAAAGGCCAGCCATCAATGCGGGCGACCAAGCTTAGGTCAATCAAGTCTTCCAGCTGCACCAATCTTTCGGTGGCAGTACTGGCCATCCCATGGTCAGAAACAATCACAACATTGACGATCTCAGTCAAGTTGCGATCTTGGAGGCCTGTAAGAAGACTAGCAAGCATGGAGTCAACCTTCGCTATCGTGCCCCGCGTCTCCGTGCTATTGGGCCCGTACAGATGCCCGTCAGCGTCGACATTGGGAACGTAAGCAGCAATGAACTGCGGGCGGGACGATTGCGTCTGGTCCTCCACGCCAGGGAGGTCCAACAGGCCCAGGATGCGGTCAACTTTTCGCGAAAGTGCTTCGGAGCCATTGTAGCGATCGAGAAATGTTGGCTCGACACCACCGATATGTGCTTCCGAACCTGGCCACATATGAATGGCAGCCTTTACGCCCTGGTTCTCAGCCGTCATCCAAAGAGGCTCGGCATTCCACCATTTAGGCTGCATGCTAACGCTGGGGTGGGTGTAGTAGAACTCATCCTCCATATCTGGGTCCCAGAATGTGTTTCCAACGATTCCATGACTTTCGGGATATAGTCCAGTCACGAGGGTGAAGTGGTTCGGGAATGTCACACTAGGAAAGCTGGGCAGCATGTATTGCGGAGAGACACCGTTCGCGATCAAGGAATTGAGGGCCGGGGTCAAGCCCCGGTTCAAAAAGTCCGCACGAAAGCCATCAAGAGAGATGAGGATTGTAGTTGGCGCAAAAAGAGCGGTGCCGTTGGATAAGAAACGTTTCGAGGAATGTGAGGCTCGAAATTTCGTTGATGCCTTGTAGGCACCTAATAGGAGTATGAAGAAGAGAACCAGGACGGTGGAGAAGATCAACAAGAGCCGACGCCATGAAACACGCGGTGGCTATTGCAACCGAGATAGGTTAGCAACAATAAGAATCATACGCAACTGCACCGGGGGGGACCTTGTGGTGGCCTACTGGGGCGGATGTGTAATCCTTGAGCCGACGGTCCAGGTCCGATGAGGAGGAACTCAAGAGAGAGCTCTCATCGTCCGGGTGGCCCTCTTCCATCTCGAACAGCATCTCTGCTGATTCTCGCGAGTTTCTCAGACGCCCTCTGCGCGCATCCTTCCTGGCTTGCCTCCTTTGTCGCCTGCGTTCCTGCTTCCCGATCCGGACACTGCTGCTATTGGGGCTAAAAATGCGGCGGAGGCCATGAGTCGGACCGCTTCTGGTCAACAGCTTTTCGGTCTCTTCTTCATCGTCTAGAACCGTGCGATCGTGTTCTGCAAGTTCTAGAGTGGTTCGAGATCGGCGGAGGAATTCGTCGTCTTCGGAGTCAGAGTCCTGCTCTGAGGGGGAACGTAGCGACTCGGCATCCTCGTCGTAGCCGCCGGGGGAAAGAAAGGAAGCGTCGCGATTATTACGTCGTGAAAGCATGGGGGATAATAGCTGGCATGGGGCCGGATGTGAAGGAAACACGCTTTAACACAGACGTGGGAAGCTGAAGAAAGAGAAGTGGATGAATGATGCCAGGTGATTAGTGGATAAGTTAACTTAGTTGATTGATAGGGAGATCAATTGGAGTTCGGGCGATCTCCGGGCCGGTGCCGAAAAGGGGATCATCCCTCGGTTCCAGTTCAATCGCCCTTCAGCTTCGATGCTCGATTCTACCCCATACCCCATACTATCTACTCAATTGTAGCCCATGAAATCTGCGACAAGCAGTTCAAGGCAGAAAGAGTTAATTCCACTCTAGTTGCAGTACTAGCATGGTCGTCACCTCTCCGGATCAAGTGGCAAATGCTTTATTTCCGCAAACCGCAAATAACCATGATCAAGCTTCACTCACAAGACTCAACACAGCGTCTACACGCAGCCTAACCTAGAATATCGATACGATTCTTCGCACCCGGGAGCCCTCTGAGCAATGCTCTTGAACGTAGGGCCCAACTGTACTGTACACGCGGCCAACCGGACTCAGCTGGCGAATTCTCGGGCGCCCGTTGAAAGCGTACACAACCGTGAACGCCACACCATCACTTGCGGAAGTCTTGAGGAGCACCTGAGAGCTGACTCACCTTCCAAATCATCGACAAAGTGCCGCCAGGGCTCCAGCAGCCTACTACTAAGGTACTTGCTGGTCTAAAAGTAGTCCAAGAATGGATCAACATTCCTGCTTGGTCCCTGCTTCCGGCAACGGGTTCCCATTTCGGCAAGGATAGGGCTGAGCTGAGCGAGGATCCAAGTCACATGATATCAACTGTTCTCGACATGAAGGACTTCAGTCGAGAAGATCCACCACCGTGGACAGGCCATGGAACCTGATCCGGATCCATCAGTATTGAGAGCATCTCTGCATCGAGCCCGGCGTCTGTTTTGCTTCTCCGAATGCAGTACTGTGTTATGTCGAATCTGGCCTCGAACAATGGACTTCTTCACCACTCAAGATGGGATGTTTAGAATCAAACAAACAACCCCAAAACGAAAGCAACAACAGCCAGGCCAAAGTCCCGAGGACCAGCTACCGGATTCGATCGATAGAAAAAAGCTATAAAGCTTCCTTCCCCATCACAACCTCTCTCATCCTTGCCTCATCGTCAATCGTCCATCTTTCCTCATCATCTTTGCTTCAAGCAAAACAGTCCCAGTCCCAGTCCCAGTCAAATCACTGCTGTTTTAAGTTCCCCTCCCAAAGCAAAGGAACACCACAATGCACATCTCCAACCATTTCGCAGTGGCCCTGGCCATCGCAGCGGGCACCGCCCAAGCCCACGCCCGCCACGGCAACATCTACGCGCGCCAGAACGCCACGCAGCCCGACACTACGCCCACCACCATCCCCATCAGCATCCCCACCACGCCCGCCGGCGCCACCGAACCCATTCCGGTGCCCGTGCAGACCGAGCAACAGCCCACGACCCAAGCGCCCGCCGTCGTCCTCAGTACGGCCGAGACCCCCGCCGCGACAGAGGAACCCACTGCAACCACCGTCCCGGCGGTCGTCGTGGCCCCGTTCCCCATTCCCGCCAACTCCAGCGTGCCGGCCACCGTGCCGGCCACCGTGCCCGTCATCCCCCTGACCACGGCGCCGCCCGCGATCGTGACCCCCTCCGTCGTGCCCGCGACGACGCCCAGCTCCGGGTTCGTCAACACCACCAGCCCGAAGGCCACCCACTCGGCGACCTCCGGCGGAGGTAACGGCGGGAGCGGTGGCAGCAGCGGCGGTGGCGGTGGCGGCGGCGGCGGCGAGGGTGGTGGTGCCGCCCCGGCCGCTCCGAGCGCCACAAACGGTCTTACCACGAGCGGGAGCACGAAGCTGGTCGCCTCGGCTCTGTCGCTGGTCGGAGGCATTGTGGTCGGGGTGATGGTGCTGATTTAGATTGAGACTGGAAAAAGTTCCCCCGGGGATGGATGTCGAAGACCACTCACTCACTCGCTGCTGCATAACTGCTTTATAGAGACCTGTTTGCGGGTAACGAACGGTGTTGTTACCTTGAAAACGTGTCGACTTTTGTCTGCCGTCATTTTTTTGGCTCATCTACTTTTGTTTGAATGGATTTGTTTTGCTTTTTCCTTTTTGATTGCACTTTGAGGGCCTTGCATATGTATCGACCTATTGGGCAGGGGATCATTCTTTTTTTTTTTTTTGGGAAGGGGATTGGGAAAGTGAGAAAAAGAACAACAAAACCAAATAAGGAGTTGATCTGGGGAACACAGGAGAAATGGGCGTTTTGGAGGGACAGTCTCTACAATAATTCTATCAGTTGATACACACAAAATCAGATCCTGATTCTGCATTGTTAAACCTCATTCAGAAAGTCCCAAGAGAGTAGAATATAATCGTAGTTCATTTTTAATCTTCTAGTAAGAGTCATCTCATTATGAAACCAAGTGGTTACAGATACAGTATGTAGCAGAGTGAGTTTTTGTCTACCTCCCCCTATCATCCCATTCAAGATGTCGAAAGCCAATTCACCCACTGACACGAACACCCTCCCGTACCGCCATCGACCCCGCCATACACCGAGCTCGTCTCATTGGCCGAAGAGGAAGACGAATTACTCGCAAAGTCGAAGATTCCCGGCGCCGGATTCACCAACTGACCACCATAACTCCGGTCCTCTACCTGCAGCTTCACCAGCGTGGAATTCACCTTCTCGTCCGCCTCCATCGCGTAGCAATACACCATTTTCTTCTTCGCGTCGCCGCCGTGCCGGTCCAAGGTGATGGTGACAGGGTAGGGGAAGGAACCGGGTCGGGTGAAGTCCGTTGCAGACGAGGAGGTAGAGGTGGATGAAGCGCTCGAGGCGGAAGAAGTCGGGGTGGCGGACGCGGACGCGGACACTGACGATGGCTTCAACAATGTATCCGTTGATCGAGTCCAGATCTGCACAAGAAAGCGCGTTTGCGCCCAGGTGCAGCGCACGCGGGCTTGCTCCTCGGTTGAGCCGCCGTCACTGTCGTTCGCGTTGTCGTCTATACCACTGCCATTAAGAGGAGCGAGTGAAGAAAGGAAGATGGTGCGGTCGAAGTAGGTGTAGAACCCATAGTGTTCCGTGGCTTGCCCACGGTTGTAGAGGCGAATGGGTTGCGATTCCGAGAGAGGGTAGAGCTCGGCGGCCGCGGCAGTGCCGTCTGAGTTCAGGTCGGGTGAGGGAATGAGGGAGTCGAGGTCCGGAAAAGCGTCATCTCTCTTGCGAGTGAGTCGTCGACGAGTGGAGGAAGAGGAAGATGTCGAGGAGGCCGAAAGAAAGCTCATGAAGAATGGCGTCTCTTCGCCGGTGTAGGGGGCGCTGTTCTTGTCCGTGGTGTTCCCAAGAAAGGTTTGGTCCTTCATGCTTGGTGGTGATGGTGAGGGATCCGTACCAGACGAGCGGCCAGAGACTAATGATCGTGAGGCGATCGTCGTGCTGTTCGGATAGGTTCCATTGCGGAATTCGATCTCGACGCGAAAGTTTGGCTCATCGGCCGTGTACGGCTTGTTACCGGACTGCTGCTCCTTCGGTAGGGCACAACTCCAGAGTGAAGATGGAGCAATGCAGCCGGGGACTCGTTTGTAAAGATTCGGCCCAGCGATGGTCGCAATGCCAGTTGGCATGGGGGGATAGCCGGTAAGGTTCAGCCATTGGGATTGCACCGGCGTTGCACTTCCCTTCCTGGTCAGTGTCAAGGCAAGAATGAGGGCGAGCAAGACGATTATAAGGAACGAAGTGCAGATCGCCAAGTACCACCGACGCTTCACTCTTCCTTCTCGTCCCGACCTGCCAAAACAGCCTTTCTTGCTAACCGGGCCTCTGCCACGCCAGCATCCACCTAACCTCCGACCAACAGCGTCTTCCTTCTCTAGCCTCCGTCTTTTCGTTTCGATCTTCTGTCTTTCCGTGGTTGAGTCCACCTCCTCCCGTGTAAGCGGGTGTGGATCTATGCGTGGGGGCAGGATGCCAGAGCTGTGGTGGTAAGAGGTATAGGCAGGTGCCGGTGTGTTCTGCACTTCGCTCAAGGGTACTGATCCTCTTTCTGTCATCCGTTGAAAAGCAGGCGACACAGGCTCCGGAGGCTGCGGCTGTGGAGCAGGATTCGATGCAGGCTGTACAATGTACTGCGAATAGCTTCTTTCCGGCGGAGCTATAAGAACGGCGGAAGGAACCACGGCGGGGTGATTGTAAAAGTTCTGCACTGTCGGTGGAGCCGCAATCGTTGGCTGGGGGATTGGCTGCGGGACTACAACAGGAGCTGGCTGGCTGACTGGTTGCATCGCTGGTTGTATGGCTGGTTGGATTATTGGCTGAATGATTGGCTGGTAGACAGGGTAAGGGGTTTGCCTCTCAACATGGCCTTCAGCGACGGCCGCCGGTGCTGCCCTTGGCCCTTCTTGATGTGCCGGCGCAGAGGGCACCTCTTTGGCGGTTTCCTTCGCGCTCTGTGTTTGGGGTTGCTGCTTTAGAGATTGGGTACTCGGAGAGCGCTCGCTAGGTGCGACCTCACTTGGTGTATCCTTGCTTGGAGCGTCCTTGCCTGAAGGATACTCGCTGGAAGGATATTCACTTTGAGGATACCCAGTCAACGTAGGACCGCTTAGAGTGCTGTGTTCATCGGAATCACGGAAAGGGTTCTGTCTGCTTTTAGCCACAGTGGAGATCCCATCAACAGAACGCAGACCAGTGTCCACATCGGAGGGTCCAGGTGGATGTTGTTTCCCAGTTCCAGGCATATCATCCACGTCAATAAGAAGATCTTTCTCATGAGTGACCAGCGCAGGTGGTTCAGTCATCACCGCCGCAACCTTGTCTTTTGGGGTAATCGAACAAATATGATTAACACATTCGAAATAAGGACGCCCGCTAAACAGTTCGTGGGCACATGCCTGATAATACTCAGCAGCAGAGCCCTGAATTGGCTCGCCAGGAAACATAAAGGATGTCATATTGCGTTCAGCTTCAACCGAATTAGGATTTTGTGGATTCGAGTTGGCGTTATCTAGCGGGTTTGTAACGGCATCCGGGGTATCGGGCGAAAAGTACGAGACTTCCTTCTCCCACCACTCGTCCGTCAGTTCAGAGGAGTGGGTTGCGATACTGGGCACAAGAGGCCTTCCGGCGGTGACTGGTGTCTTGGGAAAGAGAGGGGACATGAGGTACGTCCACCAGCCTTGCGACTGCCGGGTAGCTTCGGTGTTGATGCTCAGTCGATCCGGGATCTTTTTCACCTTCTCAACTAAGAACGAGCTTGGTCTTCCTATGGGCTTGGGACTGTCTTCCTCAAAGATAGTTCCGGTTGAAAATGCACGCTGTTTTCTTGATGACATTATAGATTTCATAGAGGGGGAATCTGGGCTGGCCTTCTCATTATCCGCACGGACATGAAAGGCTGGGATGGCCGGCACTGGCGGTATATCATGATCGTCATAATCGGGGTATGGCGTAGGTTGAGAGTAGATGCTGGATGTCGCTCTTGGACGGGGATGAGCCGGCTCGAATCCGTCCCAAAATGTGTCTTCATTGGCAGGAGTCACAATAATTGAAGGTGTAAGTGGAGTATGCGAAAAGCGCATCCGATCTCTTTCCCTTGGCCTTTCATCGGGCGAGTCCTTCGATCCATGGAATGGCATTTGAAGCCCGATCATAATATGTCTATCAGAAGGCGACAGCTCGTCCTTGCCTATCGTCTTCTGCTCGACAACCCCGAAAGACTGTGGTGCACATGACCCTGGCACTACCGACTTCACAGTCCCCACGGTACCGTCCGTAGTTCTTTCCTGCTCGCGCACCTGCAAAAGGGCCTTGAGATCGTTCAGATCGACGAAGACTGGTGCTGGCACCTCGTGCTGTACAGTCGTACTTGGTTTGGAGAAATCTGTGACCAAGTTCAATCCGCGACTTCTGCTTGAGCTCTGCTCAGCTCCTTGCTCCACATGCACTACTCCTTGTACGATATCACCTGCACCACAGAGACGGCCAGTATGACCCTGTCCTTGGATTTGATCATCAAAAGTCGCCTTCCGAATGAAAGGATTCTTGCTGATTGTTTTGTTCAGGAGAGCGAAAGGGCGATTCCGCCACAATTCGTGGTCGTCCGGCGACGACGGGATGGGGCTGGGAACCTCTTCTGTGATCGGTGATGAGAGAGGAAAGCTTGGAGCCGTGGGAATCAGCAGTCCAGCCAGTGGCTTCTGATTCCGAGAAGCCATGACACCGGACTGCGTATAGTATGGCCCGGAATGTCGACTCGCGGGCTCAGTTAATTTGCAAAGTATGTAGGGATACTATACTGTTGTTGATGCAAGTTTTGACCACTCAGTAGTTGCAGAGTAGGCGAGGAACTCTACCGAATATGAGGGAGGTGTATCTGTTCAATTGGGAGAGGTGTTGTCTTTTCGTTCTTTGATGCAGGCAAAGGCTTTTCTGGAAGAAGAACAAAGGGTAGAGTTGATTGTCTTCAGAGGTCAGCGAGTCGGAAGCAACAATGAAATGATGTCGACAATAGCATTAACACAAGCAAAGAAATCTTCCACAATCACCGTGACTCAAAGGATGTGAATTATGGAGTGCCAAGAGGCAGTACAAATGTGCGAGACAAGCTCCAACAACGAATTCATGAAATCATGAAAGGCACATCAGGCCGGCCAGTCTGTACGAGGATGAAGACCAGAAGAAATCAATAGACACTCTCAGAGCTGTACGATAGTGGGAAAAGCTTCGTCACCTCAGGTGATCGATGGAGGGAGGAGAAAGCTTCCTCCGAAGAGCTACCCTTGATCTAAACAGCTTGTTTCGCATTGTTCCGGCCAGAGCCTGTGCAGAATCGCAACTCGACCAGTCTCCATGGTTTCCGGCGACATCTGCTGCAGATAGATCAGGTCGGACGAAGCGCTGACTGGGTAGAAAGTATCGAAAGAAGCAGATGGACTCTGCAGGACGGAGAGTAATCTGCAGAGTGATTTGAGGATTGGCTGTGGATGAAGCGTGATGGGTGATGGGCAAGTTGTATAGCCGCCGATGCACGACACCCGCCCAAGCGCTAACCTAACTAACTCCATTAGTCCATGTAGGTTGCAGACTGTCAGCGGCCCACCCAATCAGGGACCCGCTTTGCTGGGTGACAAAAATAGTACAGCAAGGTAGTTACCCGTGACCCGCGTACGTAGGTACCTTCCCCAACAGTGGAGCTTGCGCCCATTCCACCTTACTCAGGTACCGTGTCTGTCTCTCTCCTATGCGCCCGGAACTTCCTGCGATCCACTTAGACTACTAAGACTCCTAAGAATACTACTCCCTGACAAATTAAGTAGACAAACACAGGAATAGTTTAAGAAAAATATCGCTGCCGAGCAATCCTGTAAATCGGCTTGCGCAGCGGTAGGAATTTTTTCATTTCATCTCCGAGTCTGTACCAAATGGTCACACAGATAGACATAATGAACAGGCCATGAGGATATCAAGAAGGCATATGCGCAAAGCTCATGTCACAAACATGTTGCCTCCTTTCTACAACCAAAGGGTATTGAGGATGCAACGTCGATAACCGATCCAACCGTAAACCAAGGATAGACACATGAAATCCCTGATATAGGGAAGATTTCCAGACATAAGAGGCGATAAAGGAGACGCGAGGCGAGATATCGAAACATGCGGTGCGGGGGTAATCTTCGAGGCGAAAAGAAGTAATAGTAAAAAAGACACAGTGAGGTTGGAGAAAGCAGCAGATTCAGTGGAAATCGGACGCCAGCCAGAGAAGCTTGCCGGTTAAACCCAGGAAATATGTATATGTTGAATGAGAGCGAATTTTCACAGAACAAGGAAAGCCGCTCAAGACTCTCCTTTGCAAAGCAAAATCAAAAAGGGTGCGGTCGCCGAGGTTTCATCACCAATGCATTCAGAGCAAGACTTCCATCAATAGGTGTATTTCGGTGCGCTATGATTTTTTTTCAAGCTACCGTCGATCATCGGTGTACTGTACGCCCTGCATAGGAGCAACAGACCCATTCATGAGTGGGGGCAATGTCCGAGGCTGCTCTTGCGCCATGGCAGAGCCTTGGGCGTAGCTGGGGTAGATCGGACCGTGTACCTGACCGTTCGTCTGCGGAGCTGAGATGGTGTGATGCTCGAATATTGACGCCTGGCGCGACTGTCCATTGGCCTGCTGCTGGTTTAGCTGCGCGCGTAATTCATCAACCTCACTCCTCAGAACGTCGTTGTCGCGGCGAGCGTTGTTGAGCATTTTTTCCAGATGGCTAATGTACTCGATCGCTATTGGAGTCGTTAGTGGGGAATGAAGTAACAAATTGGCGAATTACTGCTTACCTCTAGTGAGAGTCTCCCATTTGCTAGATTTGTTGTTCTGACTCTGCGGAAGACGGACGCGTAGGGCCTCAAAACAATCTTTCATCTCGCTCCGGCGCTTCCGCTCAGCTAGCTTGTGGGTGACGCGCAATTCTGGAGTGCGGCTGTAGGGAGTGCTGCCGCCATGCGCCTCCGCCTCGCCAATCAAACCCCGGACTTGTTTATGCTGAAGTGTATGGTGATGTACATTTTGAGGAAGTTCTGCTGAGAGTTAGAATTAGGCGTGCAAAGTGGACCATCGCAAGACCAGTGCATCAAACATACCATGCTGTCCACGGGGTAGGCGTGCATCGGAATACACACTGCTGGCCAGAGACTCTGCCGTGCTTCCTTTCCGTGTGAACTGATGGCCGTTAAGAGGTTTGTCGGCGGTAGACGAGACGGAATTCGACCGGGCGACATCTGGATCTGGGAAGGCATACGCGAGACCCGCGGTGGGCGCCTCCGCATTGTAGATTTCTGACCGAGGATTCGACGAAATTGCAGGTGCAGTGCGGCCAGCCGCAAAGCTACGATGCTCGCCAGCTCTTGGGCCAAGTGGAGAAAGAGGCTGTCCGGCAGAATAGCGAGGACCCCGGTAGGTGTTGTTCATATTCACATCCATCGAAATCCCACGTTCCCGTTGCAGGCCAGAAACGATTGATGACTGCGAGGCGTTCGTGCTGTGGTATGGGGAAGCCGGGTTGATGGCGAGAGAGCTGATTCCCTGATTCATTCTGCTATCCACGCTGCTCCGTCGCGACTCTGCCGGTTCCGCGATGCTGGCTCTTTGGGAAGGCGCATCGTAGTTTTGGTTTATGGAAGGTAGTGTCGTCGGGGGTTGAGCGTGACCGAAATTGGGGGATGGCTGAGCTCCGGCTGAAGAAGGGGTAGTGGTACTGGAAAGGTCATTGGGGTATGGAGATCGGTCGGAGACAAGCGAGACGCGATTTGGGGACGGTTGTGAGGATGTGAGGAATGAAAGAGAGGGGTAGTTTCCGGTGCCGTTTGTCGCGGTGGAATAGGTTGAAGATCCTGGCGTGGGCGGTCAGCATGGATTACGTACGCGATCAACATCAAGCCACCTACTTGTACTCTGAGGCATAGACCAGTTCCCTGAATCTCGCTCGATTGTGTTTAACGAGGCATTTCCAGGCGACTTCTCCGCCTGCGTCGGAATACCCGTCATGCTCGCTGTCAATGTTGAGATCGAAGGCAGGGTCTGAGTGGTTGGGATACCCTGCGGTCCCGTTGTGGCAGGCTCCCATGGCCGGTGTGTGAGGGTGGTTTCCATTGTGTGGCTTTCAAAACGTTGAAAGAGTAGGGGGCGGGAGAAAGAGCGAGAGAACGTATGTAGGTGTGGATATTCCTCAAAGAGTGACGAAGTACTTTTGCGAAGACTAGTGATCCGAAATATTGTACCTCCCTCACTATATCATGTTCGACGTATCGGGAAACAGTCGTAGAACACACGTCTTATATTGGATGTGCAGCCGATAGATGCGGTAAATGCCGAGAATCGGTGTCGATCGAGGCACCGTTCGAGGATCGCGTAGGGAAGCGGCTCCAGATCGAAAGACGTTCGCCTTTCGAGTTCAGGGGACCACTTGGAAATTCTGTTCCTCCTCTAGAAATTGACTTTTATTTCGCAAAGAGCCGATTTCACTCCAGAACCCGCTCGCCCAAGAAAAGTATCGCCAACAACGATTGTCACTAGACCACGTAAGAGGTCAAGTCTCGAATCTCGTGAAGGTTCACGTTTGGCGAGTAGAGACGCAAGGTATACTAGTGTAGCGGATGACGGTCACTATGCGACAAAGAGATAAGTATTTGGAATGGGAAAAAAAAAAAGAAGGCGAGCTGATTGATCACGCAGAGCGCATCCAAGGTCCGGGGCAGATGTCGGAAACAAGTCAAGCAGACGGGAAAACAGCCAGCGTACCTATCCAGGGACGGATCATGTAGAAAGAGTAAAACGAGGGCAGTTGAATCCTTATGGAGGACACGGACAATGTACAAGGAAGAGAAAAGGGACGTTTCAGAAGGGGAAAGGAAGAGAGGTAAGGGAGCGCTAAATTTTAATAGGAAAAATGAGCAATCCGTGTTAAGGTCAACCACATGGGGAAGACGGAGGGAGGGGGGGAGTGGACAGAAATTATAGACCGAAGGACCAATGGTTCTGGGGCATGGTTTGCAGACAATGGATCGCACAGGGAGCTTACCTGATGGCCGAGAATAAAACGCTCGGGCGGTGCAGCGGAACGTGGCACAGGAGTGAGGAGACGAACAATTGGGCAGGAAGATGTGTTAGGGCAAAGATTCCGACCGATAACCAGCAGAAGCTTAACGTGACCGGGCTAGTTAAAAGCGAAGCTGCGGGGATGATGAAGAGGGGCGAAATGGCTGCTGGGAAAAGAGCCAGCCAAGAAAGATGGACGACCAGAGCCGGACTAAAAAAGTACAGTACTAACAGTAGTAGTGGTGGTGGTGGTGGTGGTGGTAGTAATGTATTTGGTAGAGCCGCAGTGGTTTAGTACGGTAGTCTCCGAGTCGGGTGGAAAGAGGGGGGAGGAAACAAAAGAGATTCAGAGAAGAGAGAGTGAGAGAGAGAAAGAGAAGAGAGAGAGTAAGGAGGGGGCCGGCGGTTGAAGGAGAAGAAGCCTAGACTAGAAAGAAGCCAGAAAGAGGGTGGACACTGGAGTAAGTTGCAAAATACGGAGTAATACTCGATTGGTCGTAGTAGGAATAGAACCTCGGACTAGTGGCAGGAACCAGACGGTGGCACTGGAGAGTAGACTATGGGATGGGAACAACTGGGAAGTCTGATTGATTGAATGAATGATTGATTGATTGAGTGATTGATGGAAGGACAGAACCGACTCCGACTTCTTGGGGCTTGGAGCGTGTGGTGCAGCGGTGCAAGCAAGTGATTTTTTGGCACTAGAACTGGATCGGGTTGAAAATTGGTGATGGATAAGTTAATGATGATGACCGACTCGCCGACTTTTTTAGGCGCGGGAGCTATCGACCATATGTTCTGACTAGTCAGCGGAACCCCGGGGCGGGTCTGGAAACAGTCGGTGGAGACACTTTTCTACAGTAGGTGAAGAAGTCAAGAAGACATGGAGAGTTCAAACAATTCATTCATTCTCCGGGCAAAAGCTGGGATAAATTGATGACAGGTGCATGAGTGGTTCATACTTACTAGTCTGAAGGATAACACCCAGGGTCATTCCACAGAAATCAATTCCCGTAGTAGACGTGTGCTAATTGACTAGTAAATGGAAATAATGCCAATGTAAAAAAAAAAAAAAGAAAGAAAGAAAGAAAGAAGAAAATTCAGCTAGAATAAAATAAAAATAAAGCCCCGAGCGAAAAGGGAGAAAGTTTAAAAATGGAAGCAGTGAAAAAGCAGTGAAGAATGATCTGATGCAGCTCACACGTAGTATCCTTGTTTAAAAGGGCAATCAAGCAGTCTATCACAGAGGGCAACCGTCATCTAAGGCAATGGATCAATTCTATCTCCTTCTGCTGCTCATCCCTACGCAAACTTCAAGATTCCCATCGCCGATGCAAGTTCCTTCTATTGCTGCGCTCGATGTAGCATGATCTCCTATCCCCTTCTCAAGAGTCCAATATTGCTAGATCTATGTGACACGGAGTGATGGATGCATGGGTTTCCATTGGGGACTACTGCGAGATACAGATGATACAGCAGGTATCATATGCTGCTGGATGGCGCTTGGCATTGCATCCTCAAGTATGGGCATACACTTCGACCGCAACGGTCCATCAACAATTCACCCACCCCCGGTCGTATAACAGGGCATTATTCACCCTTGGTCAGACGTAGTGTAGTCGCAAATCCGGTAGGCCGTCCGCTCGGGTGACAGCCACTGACGCTCACTCTGGCATGCTGGATTTACAGGTCAAGATCGCTTGGATGGTGAACTAGTAGACTATCGGAGGGGCGAGAGAGATCGAAATCAGATTTGGAGCCTGAAGCGAAGGCAAGAAGGAGGGCACATCGTCACCTAAAAAGCCACAACTAAGGCAGGTCATCCGTCTGGAAACGGCCAAGCATTCAAGGGAGAGATGATCTGCTGCGACAGGAGTCCACCGCCACGAGGCCGCCTTTTTTTTTTTTTTTTTTTTTTTTTTTTCCTTTTTTTTTTTTTTTTTTTTTTTGACCTTTTTTTTTCTCTTACTGTTGAAGAGCTGGCTGGGAGGGTGGAAAGGTTCAATCGGAACCAGGGAGCCTGGAAAGGGAGGGGGGAAAGAACCCCTTCCATCCAGTGGCACCGATGGAGTCACTGCTGCCATGCCACAACAACTTTTACCCGTGTTCGAAAAAAAAAATACTCTCCATGTCCAGAACACCATAGTGGTACAAGAAGACAAAATGTCAGGTACCAGAGTTGAAAGGTGCTTAGTTCCCCCACTTTAAGGGATCTAGCGCATCGGATAGCTGGCTCCGCCAAATTTTGCGATTTGTATCCATCTCCTTCTTGGGCTTCTTTTTCCTAATGCGTACCGCCCGGTTAAGCTCCAGCTTGCGATCCATTATCCCGGAAACCTCGTCCAGAATAATATTCACAGACATATAGAATTGCCAACCACTATTTTAATTAGTCAGAGGCATAACAACAAAACAGAGGCCCCTCTACTACTGACTTGTTTTTCATATCAGCGGGATGGGATGTCTTTGGAAACAGGCGACAAATTAATAGCGGCACAATTACTGCAAAAATTCAGTCCAAAGTCATCCGAGCCGAGCTTGTCCTACTTAGGCAATTGTAGGAGCTGAGTTGGGCAACTCGAGCGTAGATCGTGCCGAGGTCCTCCGTGACCTTGCTAGGTGACTACAGCCATGACAGCGCCTTCTAGTTTTTAGTCTTCCCATTTGATCTAGCGGATTTAGATGGATCCAGATGGGAAAGATATAGTCCAACATATTGAACCAGGTTTGCAAGGCTGATTTCAAATGCAAGTAAGTAGCAAACAAATGATGAGACTCGGAAAGTGAGAGAGACGGCGGGTCCAATGGAAGTCAAAATAAAAGGAGCCAGGTGGTTGACACCTCCCAGTTCTAGGCCCCCGAGCTGCTGTAGGGCGCTGGGTTGGCAATTATGGCCGAGCCAGGAGGGTGGGAAGAAGCGGCGTCCTCACTTGAACGATTGAAGTGGTGATTTCTTGGTTGACTGACTGTTTAACTCAGAATTTGCGAGTTCTTACAGCTTGGACCAACAGCCGGAAAGTGGGGCCCACCAAATAAATGGGGGATTTTGGAGTCGATCCAATCCAATTACACGAATCAGCTTACAGGCAGCTGTCATGATAAAATGCAGTTTACTGCAGGACTTTTCGGCACCTCTACCCGTCGTGAGAAAGGTGGTGATGGTGATGGAGGTAGTGGTGGTACATATTTAGTGCATGATTGCTGGCAGAAAAGCACTGCAGTGACCTTGTCTTCGTATGCATTGGCCATTACATCATCTGAATACGAAATGAAATTGAGGTTCACTCGGATTGAAGGTTGAAAGGGATCTGGATCCGGAGCCGACAACAAACTCGAAAGGCCGATGAGAGTTGATCAGTACATGTTGAGGATGAAGAGGGCCAGGTTCCCAAGGAAGAAGCAGAGGCCATCCTCGGTCGGCAACGATCTCGATGCGATGCGGTCTGCTTTCACGTGGCTGCACTGAACGATCGGCCGCAGGGGTCCCACGGTCTGCGAACTGCCGTAAGCGTAATGTTGCGTATGGCGTATGTACAGTACCACCAGTACCACCCACCCCCCTCCCCCCTCCATGTTCCCTCCATGTCTCTCCACGGAGAGGAAACCTGTCCTCCTTGCAGCTGAGCTGATGTAAGTTCACTTTCTCCCTGTCTTGCATTGATAACAACTTGAAGAGCCTATGTGACAAGCTGGATTTCCTGGAAGTTATGGGACCTACCACACACCGTGCGAAGGGTCCATGCCTCCCTGGCGTCCTTGACAGCTCGCTCGAGTGGTACAAAAGCACGTTCTGCGAGACTATTGTAAGGATACCCGCCGGTATGAAGTCTTACGAGCTACAATTTCAATTCGTACAAAAACCAACACCATTGGCGGTACAGAGTTCTAGTACGTCTCTCTGCCAAAGTCAAGGTCAACGTCGGTTGGAAGAGAAAGGAGGGAAGAAATTGGAACAAAGCGCCGTCTACACCACTAGACCATCAGGTACTGTAGAGAGGTGGGCGTTTCCACCGTGACCAGGGCACCTTCACCTAGGTGCAAGCGAGAGGTAACTATGGTCATGATCTGTTTTGCTATTCTCTTGCGCGTCAAAGTTTGCTTCAGCTAGTCCCGAAACATGATTCATTTTTGACTTTCCAGCAGCCGACACATGGCAACCACGGTGGAATGATCGCCGCTAAAACGCCTGCTTATGGAGGTTCTGGACATGCAGCGGCGTCAGTTGTTCAGCCACACGGACGCCAAGAATCCCAACGCCTTGTAGCGTATAACTATACAGTACTACGTACTATGTAGGAGTATGTAC